CAACAGTACAGTGTGTTAAAATATATTTATAATAGTATATAATTTAAAGACTTTATGATTTTAAGGGAGCTCTGGTGGCCTAGTGGCAAGAAGTGGCACTGGAATCCTGAAGGCACATGGTTGGAATCCACCAGATGCTGTGCTGGAGAAGGAGGTGCAATCTCCTCCTGTCCCAGTCAGATCTGATTCAATGGTACACAACAACAACAAAAAGACTTTACAATTTTATTTATAGAAACTATCTTCCTTTATAAATTTGGACCTTTTAAATCAGATATGCTTATTTCTTTTATATAATTTTCCTTTTCTAGAGAAGGAAAATATGTGCTACTTTGAACAAGTGTTCATTCTTAAATCCCATATTGTACTATGTTAGATTCTTATGTTAGGTGCTGTGATGGCGCATGAACTCATAGTGACCCAGGGAACGACAGCTATGAAACCTGCCCTATCTTCTCCAGTGAAATTACTATTTATTTTTTTTTAAAAAAACCTGTCATTTTTCTCTTTAGAAACTAGAAGTGTTAGTCTTTTGACTTTTATTTTATGTGTAAGAAATAAAATCAATTATGACATAATAGTTTAGATTGTGTTGTAATTGTGTTGAGGAAAATATGTTGGTAATTGGTTTCTAAGTTACATATTTTAATGTACTCTTTTTTTTTTTTTTATAGGATTCTAAACTGCCTTCTTCTGTTCGTAGTACATTATTGGAACTCTTTGGCCAAATAGAAAGAGAATTTGAAAACCTTTATATTGAAAACTTAGAATGTAAGTATCTCCTATTTGATTATATACTTTCACAAATTTCATTTATTTATAGAGAGCTTTGAAATTCAAATCAATGTTTGTTTATATATATAGCTAATGTATTAATTTTCTGTTCTGTTGTAGCAAATCTAGTGGCTTAAAACAATATAATTTTACTGTTCTGTACATCAGAAGGTTCACAGGACTAAAGTCAAGATGTTGGCAGAGTGAGGCTCTTAGGGGCTTTGCTACGTACCATCTAGTCGGAACCTACCCATAGCTGACCTTCCAGCGGGTTTTCAGAGGCAGGAAATTGCACAGGAGTTGATTACCCATCTTTCTCCCACAGCTAGTGGCTTTAGGGAATATAATTTGCTGCTCATAGTTGGCAGAATTCAGCTACTTGTGATTGTAAAACAGAGGCCTCCCTCCCCCCTTTTATTTCTGTTTGTTTATATGTGGAGGCCTGTTTCCAGCTTCTTGAGACTGCTGTGTTCCTTGGCGCATGAGCCCCTTCCTTCATCTTCAAAGCTAGCGTCTGTGAGCTGAGTTTTTAGCCTTGTATACATCACTGAACCATTCTTCTTTTCTATTCATGATCACTCATGCTATTGGATTGGATCCATCTTGAGGCCCTTAAACTGAATCAGATCTGTAAAGTACTTTTATCACATAAGGTAGCAGATTCACAAGTCAGGGCGGCACCAGTTTTGGAAAACTACTATTCTGCCTTCTATATCTACTAGTCTGAATGATAATTAGTAATCCACTTTATGTGATTATTTATGTGAAATATACTTTAAAATGAGAAAGTTTTTATTCTTGTTTGTCTTTTCTCACTATCATAATTTGAAAATATGCTCAAATGTTAAGCACTTGGATTTCCCCCTACCCCTCAAAAACTCATTGTCATTGAGTCAAAACTGAAGCATAGCTGAACCTCCATTGGGTTTCCAAGGCTGTAAATCATATAGGCAGAGCGATTGTCCGTCTTTCTCCTTCAGAGCCCCTGGTAGATTCGAGCCACTAGAGAAGTGCGGCCTTTGGGTTAGCAGCCTGTGAAAAGAGCAACGGCCACATGGGGACAGCCATATTTGACCTTTACCAACTTCTCAAAGGGCAGCTCTTCCTGTCAACAACATCAATAACAAAACCAATTTCCATGAGGTCAGACATGTTCCCCACACTCCTTCTTACTCATCTCAGCACC